CGAGAATGGGTTGTTGGCCCCACCCTCGCTTGGGTGGTGCGGTCGATTGTTCTGCAGGGTTCGGCATGTGCTGGTCGACGGGGCTGTCGACCTGTTCCCGACCACTGCAATGCCGCCGTTGATGGGGCCCGGCGGACTTGTTCCACAGGGGAAGGTCGACAGAGCACTCTATCGACCTGCGTGGGACTTACGGGCAGCGGTCGAGGATGAGTGCTCGACCAACTTGTCAACGGGAGTTGTGTGTTGGCCCCGTCCTCGCTTGGGCGGAGCCGACTTCGTGGTCGGTTGTGAGGGGTGCAGCCGACCTGCAGCAGTGGGCACGGGGGCCACTGCAAGGGCGCCGAGCTGGAGGGCGCCTGGCAAGAGGGTGCCGAGCAGGAGGACGCCGTCCTGGACGTCGGAAGCTGGACGCCGACTTGGGCGTCGGCACGACTACCCGGGCGCCTGGTCGACGTCGTAGGCGTCTGCACGGCGTCTTGGAAGGCCAGACGCCGACATGGGAACCTGGTTGGCGTCCGGGGAGGCTGGACACCGCCCTGGGGGTTTGGACGGCGTCTTGGGTGCCTGGACGCCAGACTGGGGACGTCGGGCATTGGTGGCCGGCTACGGACTATGCTGGTCGGCCAGGCGTGGTTGCCCGGTCGACCGGGATATCCGGGCGACATGCGCAAGTGTCGCCGGGGTGGAGTCTGCGAGGCCGACCTCGGGGGTGGTATCCCGAGGTCGACGTGGCTGGTGGGCGCAGTCGCTGGCGTGGAGTCTGCCAGGATTCTGCACTGTGCTCGTGACAAGGTGTGGAGCGCCAACCAGCTGCATGCACCTGTGAAGCTGGTGCACCATTGTCCTGCGTGTGCAACGCTGTGCAGCCGACTTGCTGCAGCGTTGGCACACCATGGACTTGCAACATTGGCAGGTCACAGCAGTATGGGCAGCAGCTTCTCCTATCTCAGCTCCAGCAGCAGCTCCAGCATCTCCAGCAGCAGCTAGACCTCCAGCCGCAACTGCCCCTCCTCCCTCCTCCTCCAGTTTCCCAGCAGCAGCCCTTTCCTACCTGGACTGTTGGGAGTGCTGCTTCTGCAGCGCATCTTTCGGGTGCATCCCCGGCGCCGTCTGCAGGTGGCAGTGTGACCGCTTTCCCTTCCTCTGGTTTTGTTGGTTTATTAGGTCAACCTGAATCTGTTGCATCTCCCATGTACCCTTCTTCTGCTAATGAAATTCGTTCCAGTACTCTGCCTCACCTTCCTCCACCATTGACTTCGTTCTGGACAGTGGAGCCACTGACACTGTCCTTCGTGACGCTGGTACACTGCGCCCTCTCCCCACACCAACCTCCCTCCTCGGCGATGATAGTAGTTTTTCCATCCCCTGTCACAACACCTCCACCCTTCCCTGTCCTCTCTTTCCTTCAGGTACTGTCACCGGTCTCCACATTCCCTCCCTTCGTACTAACCTCCTCTCCCAAAGGTCCCTCCAACAAGCCATGATCACCACTCTCATCCCAGGTGGTGCTAACCATTGTGACCTATACCAAACCTCCACAGGTCGTTTTCTCGCCCGTATTCTCTATTGTCCCCGCTCCCGTCTTTACACCCTTCAGGTTCCCCGCCCCCTCACCTTCCAAGTTGCCTCCCCCCCCCTCCTTCCCCCCCCCCCCTCCCCTCCCTTCCACTAACCCACCCCTTCCCCCCCGCCCTCCTGACTCTGACTGTTCCTGTCGCTCCCTCTCCCACCCCACCATCCTCCTCCATCACAGGCTAGGCCACCCCAACTTCGCTACTCTACGCTCCTCTGTATCCTCCGGTCTCCTCCACGGTCTCCCCTCCTCCCTCCCTCCCCTCCCCAAATCCCCTGCACCCCCTTGCACCGTCTGCGTTCAGAGCAAGCTCAAGCAGCAGCCGCACCGGAGCTCCCCCTCCGCTGCTGCGCAGCCACTTGACCTTGTTCACATGGACCTATGGGGGCCCCAATCCCTCTCCCACTCGCCAGGGCCATCGCTACCTCCTCGTGCTTGTTGATGATCACAGTCGGTACTCGTCCGTCTCTCTCCTTCGGACGAAGGCGGATGCCCCGGCTGCGATCATCGCCTGGCTCGAGCGGGCAAACACCCATTTTGGGCGCCCTGTTCGCCGCCTTCACTCTGATGGAGGTGGTGAGTTCCTTAACAACCAAGTCTCCTCCTATTGTCAGTCTCGTGGCATCCTTCAGACTTACACCCTCCCTCACTCCCCACAGCAGAACGGTGTGGCTGAGAGTCGTGTTCGAGAGATCACCAAAACAGCCCGGTGTCTGCTTGTCCACGCCTCATGCCCCCCTTCTCTGTGGGGCTACGCCCTCCTTCATGCCACCCTCCTTACTAACCTTTACCCTCACCCCCTTCTCCCCTCCATCCACCACCCCCACTGAGCTGTGGACGAAGGACAAGCCTGATGCCTCATCACTTCGTGTCTGGGGCTCTAATGCACACGTCCTCATTCACCCCTCTGACCGCTCCCGTTCCATGGGAAAGCTTGCCCCTCGTACCCTTCCTTGTATCTTCCTTGGTCATAATCCCTCCTCCCCCGACTACCTTTTCCTCCACCCCCCATCCGGTCGTCTAATCCGCAGCAGGGATGTGGTCTTTGACGAGTCCACTCCCTACTACTCCTCTCCCACACCTACTGACCCACTCCCCCCTCTCACCCGTCCCCTTGTCTGGTCTGACACCACCCCTCCCCCACTACTCCCTCCTCCCCCCATCCTCCCATCCCCCCCCCCTCCGCCGTCCCAGTCTCACGGTACCCCTCCCTCATCTGGTGACATCTTTGACCCGGAACCTTTGTCTTCTCCTGTCTCCCCCGCTCACTCCTCTCCTAGTGCCCCCCCTCCCCCCCCTTCCTCTCCCTCGCCACCGACCCGTCCTCCCCCTTCCCGCACTATACTCACCCGGTATCCCCACACCAGGTCACGTGACAGCATCCTTGGTGCACCGCCTCCCGTTACCCTCTCTACCTCTACCCTCCCCCCTCTCTCCCCCCTCCTTCGTCACTTCTTCCAGGCTGTCTTGCATCAAGCCCCTCATGCAACAGCCCCCTCAGCCACCTCCTCACCAGCAGCGGCTCCAGCAGCGGCACAAGCAACGGCCCCAGCAGCGGCTCCAGCAGCGGCAGCAGCAGCGGGACCAGCAGCAGCAGCGGGACCAGCAGCAGCAGCGGGACCAGCAGTAGCAGCAGCGGCGGCTCCAGCAGCGGCAGCAGCAGCAGCAGCGGCTCCAGCAGCGGCAGCAGCAGCGGCAGCAGCAGCAGCAGCAGCAGCAGGACCAGCAGCACCAGCAGCAGTACCAGCAGCGGCACCGGCAGCGACTCCACCAGCAGCACCAGCAGCGGCACCAGCAGTCATCCGCGCCTTCCACACCTCCCTCTCTGAGGACTCCCATGAGGAGTTCCTTGACCTCCACCTTTCTGACCCCTCGCTTCTACCCATCATGTTTGACCTCTCCGGCACACCTGTCTTCGCCTTCTCCTCTGCTCCCTCCATTTTCGTTCCTACCACGTACGAGGAGGCAATGGCATGCCCTGACGCTCCGCTGTGGCTCGCCGCCATCATCAAGGAGCTGGAGGCCTTTATCGGCAACTCCTCTTTTGTTGATGTGCCTCGCCCTCCCGCCCCTACGAACGTGGTGAAAGGCAAGTGGGTGTTTCGCGTCAAGCAGCTACCAGGGGAGCCGCCCGTCTATAAGGCTCGTTACTGCGCCAAGGGGTTCACGCAGCGGTATGGTTTTGACTTCTTCGATACCTTCTCCCCCACTGCCAAGCCTGCTACTGTTCGCGCCGTGCTCGACCTCGCCGCTCGCCTCAATATGGAGATCCACTCGATGGACGTTTCTAACGGCTTCCTACAAGGCGTCCTCCGTGAGCTTATTTACATGGAGCGTCCAGCCGGTTTTCACCTCCCCTTCCCAGCAGACTCTGTCTGGCAGCTGCGTCGCCCTGTGTATGGGCTCCGACAGGCCCCGAGGGAGTGGCATGGTAAACTTGCCGCCACTGTCGCGGTATTATGGCGACAGGAGGACTCCATAATAACCGGGACAGCGAGGAGAGCAGGTAGCATAATCAGGCGGGAGTAGCAGCGAGGAGGAAGGGATTCAGCGGGAGTGGAGGGGCTGAGGCAGCAGAGGCGGTGTACATATTTGTACCATAGTGCTCAGGTTTGAGGAATGCGTATGTGGGGTAATGGGTTGGGTGTATGTTTGATTTGTGTGACGTGTGTTTCTTTCTGTACAGGGCGGGTGCTGTTGACGCGTACAAGTACAGCGCGGCCGACAGGTGGCGGGGACCTGCAGGACATCATGCAAGCCAAGCGTGCAGCTGGCAGAAAGCTCGTGCTGGAGCTCATGCAGATCCAAACCGCCTGCGGTTTGTACATACGGCTCGATGCCCCGAGCCTCGCCCAAGTGATGTGGGAGCTCTGGATACACTAGGCTAGGGTGGATGCTTCTTGTTGTACATAGCTCAGCAGAAACCCCAGCTTCTCTGCTTCGTTGTATGTTTTCCATTTGCTCCAATGTAATCCTGTTCCAACAATCACAGGCAAGCATGAGCACGCTAGGAAACCATCTGGTCAGGCTCTATAGTGAGGAGACTTTCTGACATACAACGAAGAAGTTCTCCTAGTTGAATAGCGGCAGGTAGTGCATGCAGACGCGATCAGGAAAGCGGTACGAGCGGCCGCCGGTGACGACGTCAATGGCCACGCCAGGTTGGCGTGCGGGAGACGTGTCGGGCGGAAATGGAAGCGCGCAGGCGGGTGAGTCGGAGACCGGCGCTCAGAGGGAGATCTACACGGCGCCGCATCGGAGGCACAGCTTGAGTGACCTGCCGAGCGAAGGCCTGGGCGCGGGGGAAAGCTGGACCAGAAGACCGCTGGCGCCAGCGGCTTCGCTGGGCCCGCCGTCGCGCGAGGAGGAAGCGCGCGGAGATGACGGCACCGACGGCGAATTGCTCGGACGCATGAGGCGTCTCTCCATGTCGGAGCATCACACAACAGAAGTGACACGGGCGGGGAACGTGAGATATGCCGCGCTACCTAAGATTGAAGTCCCAGAACGCTTCGCGGGGACGCCAGGCGTGGGCAGCAGTCTCAAGAACTACATGATGCAGATCCGCAATGCGCAGTACCGCTGGATGAAGGATGGGCTGGAACCGGAAGATTTCTTCCGGGGGCTTTCGAACACAGTGACGGGCGAAGCAGAGACTGCGTACGGCATGGAGCTGGAGCGCATGCTAAGCGAGCCCGCGCAGGCTAATGGGGTGACGTGGGACGTGGTGTCGCAGTTCTTTGACACCCTGAAACGGCATTTCCCCGTGCAGACGCCAGAACGGCTTTCAAAAGGAAGCCGGGGGAGTCGCTGCTGGCGACGTACGGCAGGTTGCGGGAGCTCGCAGCGGATATGGAGTGCCGAGACGAGTGGAGGTTGGTCTCCAAATTCCTGAATTGCGTGGACGAGCGCGTGGCCGGGGACGTGAGAGGCAGAGTGTTCGAGATGGGACCTTCGGCCACGCTGGAGCATGCGTACGAACGGGCGAAGAAGCACGAGATTGGGCTCCGCCTCTACGAGATGGAGAGGGGCGTCATGCACTCCGAAGAGCGCCGCAAGCCTGCCTGGGCGGCGGTGGCGACAGGGGAATCCTCTAGCAGGCGTGGCCCACGAGAAGCGGAGACTCGGAGATGCCATCGGTGCGGACAGGAGGGACACTTGCAGCGTGATTGCAGTAGGCCACCGAGGTGCGACCACTGCCAGGCAGAAGGGCATCTGCGCCGGGAATGCCCTGATCTCCCCACGTGCGAAAATTGCGGGAGGCGAGGACATCGCACCTCGGACTGCTACAGCCGAAGGCCAGGGTCGGCAGGGCCGAGGAACAAAGGAGATCTAGAGGAGCAGCTTCGGGTGCTACAAGCAAGGATTCAAGAGCTGGAAGGTGCAGCCCGCAAGGAGCCCGCCATGCTGGCCAAGGAAGAAGAGGAAGGTGGCAGTGAGGCAGAGTTCATGCTCATGGTCAGGGCTCCGCGGCAGCGAGACGAGATCGACCTCAGAAGTGATCGAGCACAGAGAAGACAGCAGCCGGAGCCAAAGGTGAGGCGGTTTCGTGGGTACGCGGCAGAACCAGAGCAAGAGATGACGTCCGAAAGGCACCCCAAGGAGCGCATGGTGTGCCAGCCTTCCGTCCTGACGATTGAAAAGGGGGCCATCACGGTGGGAGGAGTGACGGTGGCGCAGGCAATCATAGATACGGGGGCCCATCACATCCTCGTGGGAAAGGGGCTGGCCCAGGGGAGTGACGTCGGCCCTTCCTTCGTCGACCACCGATCTAGTCAACCTCCCGGTTGACCGAACCCCTGTCAGCCGGCCACTCAAGTCGGCTGCCCGAAGTCGGCGTCGCCAAGTCGACGCCCTTGCTCGTCGACCTCGCCAGGTCGACCACCCGAAGTTGGCGCCCTCCCGAAGTCGGCGCCCTTGCAGTGGCTCCCCGTGCAGGTCGACCAACCACGTCGACCAGCCCGCCCACTGCTGCAGGTCGGCTGCTCCCCACACACCCGACCACGAAGTCGGCTTCGCCCAAGCGAGGACGGGGCCAACACCAACTCCCGTTGACACCCTGCTGGTCTTAGACTCGTATTGCGGACACCTCACCGAGGTTGTGCTTTCAACCCTCATGTGGCGGCGCATTATGCCCGCTATCATCCCTGGAGCCTGCACATCCTTGCTCCAGCCACTCGACGTCGTTGCCAACCGTGCCTTCAAGGCACGGGTTCGAGAGGTCTACAACGAATAATTTTGCAACCGTCGGCATCGATTCCTTCACCGCCATTGGTATGAAGCTTATGAGGTTGCTGTAGCGTAAACAACAGCCTTGTACAAACCTATCGTTTTACTTACTAGTGTATTCTTATTATCTCACCCAGGCGATCTGAAGAAGCCGCCTTTGGAGACCGTCATTACGTGGGCACTTTCCGAAGAGACCATCATTCGCTCTTTCAAGACCTGCGGGATTAGGAACAATTTCGACGGGAGCGATAACCACCTAATCCTTGCGCACTTGTGTGATGCAGCGCAGGTGGAGGTGCATGATGATGTGCAAACAGCTGGAGACACCGAAGTGTGGTTTTATTTTGCTCTGCACGTCTAGCGCCCGGTGTAAAGGAAGCGGGCGTCGTGGATGGTGACGATGATGAAGATGTGTACGATAAGGTGTCATTGATTGCTATAGGTTGTTTCGTTGATTAGAGTAGCCCTGTTTAGCTAAAGCTAGTTGTAACCTCCTGAATTAAAATAACATTTTTACTAGTTAAATGTGTAAAAAGAAAATGTGAAGGGGGGCGGAGAGTCTTACATTCCTTGACCGAAATGGGAGGGCCCTCACGAGAACAGCTCGGAATAGCCGGCCCTTGCTTCAGATAGAGGAAGACTTAAAGCCATGGTCTCACGTAAGCAAAGAAGCCATCAACTGCAAAATAGTTGATGGCTAGGTTACCTAGTTAGTGCAGGCGAAGTTCTCTCTGGTTGGGTTGAAAACTCAGCTTGCGACCACCCCGTCATTGCCTCAGCAGCTTTTGCAAAACTCTTTTGCGTACAGTTGGGGGAGGGTTTGTGTTCGGGTACAACCAGCGATTTGTGTTCGCTTCGCACCCCTCGCTTCACCCCACTTCAAATCTTACACCTCGCCAACCAATCAGAGCCAAACTTTTGTTGGGCTGAGAGCCGTTAGGATCGTTGCAGGGCTAAGACTCTTAGTAGAGATGTAATAGCGGAAGCGTTCTAGTGAACTGGTTGAACCACCTTGCACTAGTGTGTGAGAGCAAGATAGATTGAGAATAGAAAAGTGATACAAGGCTTTTATATGATTACAGGAAATATAAAGGATATAACTTATTGTTGCTTGTTGCTGTTGCGGTTCGATACAGTGCGACTCGGGCAACTGCTCAATAACGAGTCAGTTGTTTGTCCTTGCTGTCGCGCTCCCCTTTGGCGAGTCAACGGTCGCTGACCATTGACCTTCGCTCAACCTCCGGCTGTTACCATTTTGTCAACCTCCTCGGTTGACTCGCTGTTGTCTCGTTGTAGTTCGCTTCGCTTACGACTCAGTGTTTCGACACATCAGAAGCGCAACACTCCCCTTCGCTTCTGGAGTGTCGTTGCTGGTGACGTGGCCTTGTCCAGTCAGCAGCATGCAATACTCGAACTTCTGCTTTCCGAGTTTCTTGGTCAAGTAGTCTGCTGCCATCTCGGATGTGGGGCAGTAGGATAGCTCGAGTCTCCCCTTCTCACTCTCGTCCTTCACGAAGAAATATCAAAGGGCGATGTGCTTCGTTCGGTTCGTGAACCCGTTTTTGTTCGCTTTGCGAATTGCCGATTGGTTGTCGCAGAAGAGGGAGAAGCTAGGTAATTGGGCCAGCTTTGCTTCTTCCAGTAGTTCGCGAAGGTACAATCCTTCCTTGGTGGCTGAGCAGAGTGCGATGTATTTTGCTTCAGCTGAGGAGAGATCAATTAGCTCTTGCTTGCACGACTGCCACGAGATGGGACCGTTATGCTCGAGTCGGTAGATGTAGCCACTACGTGAGCGCCTGTTGTCGGAGTCGCCGGCGTGGTCAGCATCCACGTAGCCGAGTAGTTTGGGCGTCGTGGTTCCGGTTTTGTGGTAGGTTAGGCCGACTGTTGGTGTACTGACAAGGTAGTGTAGTGCGCGATCGAGTTCTGCCATGTGATCCACTTCGAGCTTCTTGAGGTAGGTGGCGAGTTGGCTCGCTGAGTATGACAGGTCCGGTCGGCAGGTAACAGCTGCGAAGAGTAGGCATCCCAACTTTTGCTGGTAGTCGCGTATGCCGGCGGGACCAAGTGGAGCGGAGACTTCCTTGCGATTTTTGGTGGTGTAGCGGTATGGCGTGGAGATGGCGGCTGGGGTTAGGCCAAAGTGCTTTGCGATGGTGTCGGCGTATTTTGCGTCGCTGAGGTAGATCACGTTCTCCCCGTCTTGTATGTTGAGTCCCAAGTACTGCGTTACGATAGAGGAAACGGTGAGTGTGAGGTCCCGCTGCAGCTCCCCTTCGAACCAGGTCGTGATGCTGTCGGGGGAGCCTATGTAGAGCAGGTTGTCTACATAGACGATGAGTAGGATGTAGTCGGCGGCTTTTGTGAGTCAGTACATTCACTGATCGTGTGGCAGTTGGCGAAACCCGATGCGGATTAGTCGGGCGTGTAGGTACTGGTGCCACGGCCTTGGAGCTTGCTTGATACCGTATAGGGACTTCAGCAGCTGACAGACTTGGTTAGGGTCTGTGTCGGATCCATGTGGTTGCTCGACGAAGATTTCAGCATCAACTGGAGTGTAGAAAAACGCGTTAGCCACGTCGATTTGGCGGAGCTTCTTCCGCTTCATGGTGGATATCGTGAGAAGGATTCGCAGAGAGGTGTGTCGGTTGTCCGGCGCAAAGGTCTCTGTGAAGTCTCGTCCGTGTTCTTGGTCAAAGACGCGTACGACCCATTGTGCTTTGAATTTATCAATCGTTCCGTCTGCTTTCGTCTTCACACGGAAGACCCATTTCCCGGTGAGTATGGTCTTGTTGCGTGCCACTCCGATGGGTACTATCTTCCAGGTGGTGGGTTCTTCCAGCGCCTTTAACTCTTTGTCCATGGCTTCGCGCCATTTTTCCTTGTGTTTCCCCCCCAGAGCCTGCTGAACTGTAGTACGCTCCTTCGGCGGGGATGCTCCGTGGACGGCGGTGACAAGTCCGAGTATCTGCAGTCCACTCGGTGAGAGTCGGGGGGGATTTGGGTCCTCGACATAAACTGCTTCGTCTCCCGCTTCAGGATCGGTAAGGAATTTGGGCCTATGCGTTCGAAAATGTTGGTGTCAATCGGTTGGGGTGTAACGTAACCGTTGTCGGCGAAGTCGTAGTAGAATTCGACGTTGATGCTTTCGCGAGGGTTGTCGTCGTCCATCGGGATGTCGCTCGAGCAGTAGGGAAGAGGTCCGGCTTCTTCCGAGGCTCTGTCCACGTTCTGCTCGTCCCAGTCAGCCTCATCTGCTGCCGAGGCGAAGGCTCGGTCACCACGAAATCCGTCTGTGGGGTCTCGTTCTACTTCCAGGTTGTCCAGGTAGGTTTGAAGGGTGAGTCGTTCGTAGAAAATGACATCACGTGCTGCCACTGTTTCCTTTGTGTGGACGTAAAAATTCTTCCACACGTTGTAGTGTTTTTCGCTGCCCTGGTGTCGCCCCCATTGTGCGCGTTGGGAGAATCGCCCGGCTCTTGCAGTTGGGGCTGTACCATGCAGCCGAACACTCGCAACATTTTTGTGCTGCCCAATTTTCCTGTCCACAGCAGATGCGGTGACGCGTTGATGACGAGAGCAAACTGTGCAGCATCATAGCATGGTCCATTGCCTCGACCACTAGTGGTTGGGTAGCCGCATGCCACGTAGCAGCTTGCGCATGGTGTTCTGGAGGGTCCTGTTCATCCTTTCTACCACACCTTGCTGCTGATGGGCATAGAGAGGTTAGATAAGTCGCTTGATGCCTTTTTTTGCCGGTACTACTTGAACCTCTGTGACTGATATTCTCCTCCTCCATCTGACTGAAAGCTTTTCAGCTTCACCCCTGATTCCCGTTCTGCTACTGGAAGCCAGGCGACGAAGGCTTCGAAGGCCATGTCGCGACTCGGAAGGTTAAGATGCCAGACATATCAGGTAGCTGCGTCGATGAACGTGATGACGTAGTTGTATGCTCCCTGTTCGCTTTCGCGAGCATACAGGATGCCGATGTAGACTTTCTCCAGTGGTGCATATGCTGGTGCGCTCGGATTGTGGTGAGAGACGAACGGCTGATGGGGTAAGTCGGCTTCAGGGCAGGTAAAGCATGTTCCTCGAGCTCGTTGAAGTTCTCTGCCGTCGGGTAGAAGAAGTGAGTCTTTGTCGAGAACTGCTGCTCTTATCGTATTGTTTGGTGTTGTGTTGCTCGGATGTCCCATCCTTGCATGCCATATTGATTCGCTGGCGCGGTGTCCGGGTGATCGTTTGTACAGGTCGGAGCTGGAGTAGAAGCTTGCGGTGAAGTTGGTGCTTCTGTGGACTTCGAGTGGAGTGGGAGTTAGATGTTGTGCGGGAGTCGGCGGAGAAATGTCGATGGGGACCGGTGCTGTTGAAGGACCGACGATTGGTGTTGTTGTTGGTGTTGTCTCTTCTTCTGCTGTTTTTGTTTCTGCTTTTGCTGGTGTTGTCTCTACTTTTGCTGTTGTTGTCTCTGCTTCTGCTGTTGTTGTCTCTTCTTCTGCTGTTGTTGTCTGCCGTATTGTTGCTAACGCTCGTGTCCGTTCTACTTCAGGTATAGTATGCGA